CGACGCGCAGAGGCGCGAGCTCGGCGCCGCGCTCTTCGTGGGCTGGGGCTCGGCCGGCCTGCTCCTGATCGCGGGGGCGCTGCTGTGCTGCCCCCGCCGCCGCCGGGACGTCTCCTACTCGGTCAAGTACTCGGCCGCCGGCGGGGCCGCTTACGTTTGAATCCTGCCGCTGCGACGCCCTCGCCGCTCGCCTCCCTTTGAAATCGGCTCATCGTTCGTGTTAATAAATGCTGCTTTTAATAAAGGCTTGTTTCAAAGAAAAACAAAACTCGGACCTCCGTTTGCTTTCACATCGGCAGCCGTTGCAGTGTTGCAATTTAGGGAAGCCGCCGTTTTCCCAAGATGAGGCCTTGCGCTTCGAGACTCCTCCAAAACACTCTTCAGGACCGCCGACGCGTCACTTTGAGCACGGGGTCGCCTCCTGGCTCAGGTAAGGGTTTGCGCCTTTTCCGTGTCTTCATCCCAAGTCGAAGGCCTGAATGCAATTGTCAAATCTGCTGACGGCCAACTCTCTCTCTCTCCCTCTCTTTTTTCCTTGTCCGCTTGACATTTGCTTCCCCTGTGGACCGATGTCTTTCACATGGAAGGCTTTGCAACATCTAAAAGCGCCAAAGGGTGCCGCAAACTTGCATGCGTTGGCCCCTTTAACGTGGAACTTTGTGATTTGAGCTCGTGCGCTATGAGACGGTTTAATTGCACGTTTTGAGTGTCCGAGGTCTAAACCGAAAGGACATGCTTCAAGTGAGAAGCGTTTCAAGTCAAAGTGGAGGCGCAGCGCAAGCTTGGCAAGTGGGCAGCAGGTGCGCTGGATGAGCGTCCATGGAGTCGTCATTCAAGAGTGCTTGCGCAACTTTTTCACGGCGTTTCAAACTTTCCTTCACTTTTTGTCGGTAAGCGCTCCGTTTGAAGTGTTGGCGCGATCCCGATTTGCGGTCCAAAGCGCCTGCCGAGAGGGCAACGGGTGCAGTGACGAGCCCCATCCGGCAGATGGCGCGGTTTTGGCTCGACGTGAAGCGCGCTTACCGCCTCCTACGGGACTGCAGCGGAATGACAGCCGCGTTCCATGCCGAGAGTTGCTGAGTCTTGGCGGAGGTCCGCCTCCCAGTACCGCAAGAAGCGCGGAAAGGATGTCATGTCCGTTTCGTCGCAAGACTGTGTGGCGTGTGCGCGCGTTGCCACAAGGCTGTTGTAGGAACGGAAACGGGTGGCGACACCGGTTCATTTTGTACATTCTGCCATCAAGTGGAAGCGGCGAGTTGCTCGGCCTTGGAAGACGGACGACCGGAGGAGGCGTCGGTTGCGCTCAAAAGATTTGGACCATTTCAATGAAATTGGATTTCCCTCACCACGCATTCTGATTTCTGCTGTACTGCGAGAAAAAATACGCAAACAGAGAGAGATTTGATCACATCAGAGATGCTAACATCTACTCGTGTTCAGCTGGCGGATCGACGGACAAGCGGGCAGGCCGACTGTGTGTTTTTGAAGTTGTTTGCTTTTGGCTCCCGCTGCTGCTCTTCGCTTTGCGTGAGGAATCCGGTTGAGCCAGAAAAGCGGCGCGTCGTCCCGCCCCCCTTTTGTTTGCATTCGGGCGTCGCTCGGGGACGCGAGCGAAGCAACGAGGACGAGGACGAGGACGAGGAAGATGCGGACTCAGCTGGCGGGCGTGCTCCTGGGCCTGCTGGGCTCGCTGGGCACGGGCCTGATCTGCGGGCTGCCCGCCTGGAAGGTGAGCGCCTTCGTGGGCTCCGACATCGTGACGTCGCAGGTCTTCTGGGAAGGGCTGTGGATGAACTGCGTCATCCAGAGCACGGGACACGCGCAGTGCAAGGCCTACGACTCCGTCCTGGCGCTGCCTCGGGACCTGCAGGCCTCCCGGGCGCTGGTGCGTATTCATGTCTCCGGTATGGACGTATTGATGCGCGCGCGCGCGCCTCCCGGGAGCGAGACGGCTCGCTGCGCTCAGACAAGCGGCAGGCTTTTGGCCAGTACTGCTGGAGGCGAGGGAATTTCTCCGTGAGCCATTTTTCCTCGCCTCCATCCACCGTCGATGCGGTCAGAGTAGGACAACTTTGGCTCATGTCAGCGTTCTCGTAGGACAGCTACATGTTTCCAGCGAGGCAAAAAGTTGACATCGGCGCACCGCTCGACATGCACGCGGCACCACAAGTGCACACAAAAAAGTCCCAGTGGCAGCGGCGGCGCACCGAAACGTCTTCGCAACTGGCGCAAAGACCTCGACGAGCGCGCTAAATGTCGAAAGGCCTTCCCGCAGGTGTGCGCGTCGTTGGCGGTGGGAGCGCTGGCGCTGGCCCTGAGCGTGGTGGGCGCCCGCTGCACGTCCTTCCTGCGCCACGACTGGCCGACCAAGAACAAGGTGGGCCTGTCGGCGGGCGCGGCCTTCGTGGCGGCCGGCGTCCTGTGCGTCGTTCCCGTCAGCCTGTCGGCTCACGCCATCGTCGCGGGCTTCTTCGACCCGCTGCCCTCCGAGGAGCGGCGCGGCGAGCTGGGCGCCTCCATCTACGTGGGCTGGACCTCGGGGGCGCTGCTCATCGTCGGCGGCGCGCTGGTGTGCTCCGTCTACCGCTGCTGACGGCGGTTGAAGCGGGGGGGGCGTCCTTCCCCGCGTCGCTTTCGTGCGCTAATTGCGCCTTTCGTCCAAACCCGTCGGGCTCACGTGAGGAAAGACCAGAAGGAGGCCGGCGGCCGAGAGTACGCGGCTGTCCAAGGCGCCCCGAGCGGGCACGCCTTTGGGCACGGCTGTGGGAACGCGCCTTCGACCCTTCGACCGCAAGCGCGCGGAGACGAGGGACCCGAGCTGTCGTTTGGCTGATTTTGGAACTTGGAAGCGAAGCTGGAGATCCCGCCGCTGGACGGATGCGGGCGGGGAGCTCGGGTCGACACTCAACAGCGCGCTCATCTTCAAATGATCCAGCGTCAAGTTTCAACTTCCGGGTCTGCGTCGTCGAGATATTTTCTTGCTTTATGTCTTTGGGAGTCCGTGCAGCAAAATCTCACTGGCTGTAAATAAAAGATGCTTATTGTCAGCTTTGCTGCAAGTTTACTTTCGAGCGGCGGTCCTGCGGCTCCGGAGGCGCAGGTGGCCGCAGGTGGCCGCCGGTGGCTCTTTAGCGCCGTCCCGGCGGCTCCCCGCAGCTTTTTTCAAAAAGGTTGGAAAATGGAAAAAGACGGGGAAGGGAAATATATTTTTTTCTGTTCATATGGTTTCTGCAGGAGGACAAACATTCGGAACGTTTTCCAGTGCTGTAAAAATGTGGACAATAAATCTGACATTTCTGTCAACCGAGATTTGCGTCACTGTCTGCGTCGCACGCAGGCGGGTGGCTTTCTTTCGAGCGACGAGCGGCCGATCGGAGCGACGGCAGTTTCTCCTCCCCGTCGCTGGGGGGCGCCAGATGAGACACGGGGCCTGGACTGAACGTTCATCCGTCCATTGTCCGATGCGCTTATCCCCACGAGGGCGAGTCGGAGCCTCTCCCGGCCGTCTCGGGGCAGTCGGCGGGGAACGCCCCGAACCGGTTGCCAGCCAATGGCAGGGCGCACGCGCGGACCAACCATTCGCAGCCGCAATGTGTCGCGGATCTGTTTGTGACCAACAGGTGGCGCTGCGGGGCTCCTCCTGCGCCCGCACACCTGTTGGCGATCGCGTCATTAGTTTTCTGTTCAAAGGCCTCCCTGCCCGCCCGAGTTTCTGTCGGTTCGTGTTTTCGCTCGCGCCCCGGGCTTTCGTTTGTGACTTTGGATTCTTGTCCTTTTCGGGTTTTTGGTTTGGGATTGAGTTTTTTATTCATCCACGTCGTCAAGTCGGCCCTGCTCCCGCCGGCTTTTTGGGGGGTCCTCCGCCACCGCGTTCGTGACACGATGGCACCAGGAAGCGATGATGCGGCCGAGTGAGGCTCCGCCCGGCCGAGCTCCCAAAAGAGCAGGGG